ATTGGTTGACCCGAATTTTATCAGGTCGGGTCATAAGCTTGACCTGACCTGATGTTGACCTGAAAATTTGTCTACCCAGCCTGGGTTTTTCAGGTCAGTCAGGTCAGGTCACAGGTTGACCTGACCTGATTCAGAGTTCTACTATTATCATTTCAATAGCTTTTAGATAATCTTCTAAACTTTTAAGATTTAATTCTTTTTATATTAACTAAATGACAATTTATCATTAATCTATCACTTTGATGTTATTTTATAGAATCATCATATGAATGAATAGTTAAAAGTTCTATTCTATCAAATTCTTTCATAGTAATTAAATTATTATTTTGTAAATTATATTTTATTACATTATAACTTTGACTTAATAAATCAAAATATGTATATATTAAATAATAATTGATTCTCCAATCTTCAATATTTTTAGGATTATAAATTAAAATATTATTTTTTATTATTGATATAGGAGAACTTTCTTTAATAGTTTTAGAAACACATATTATTATATGATATGCAGATGAAAGAGATGTTGTATTTGGACTTCTATAACTATGTATTGAATGATAATTATTAATATTAAAATAAAATAATTTATTTTTATTTTTTTCAAAATATTGATTTATCTTATTAAAATGATTATCTGATATATTCTTTTTATCTTTTTACTATTTTATAAGATACAGAAATTTTAAGTTTTGCTATTATATTAATAGATTTAGAAGTAGCATCATATGAAGATAAATAAAGTCCAATTTCTAATTGAAGAGAATTATTAAATTTATTTTTTAAACTAGATAATAAATAACAAAATCTAACAAGTAATTTTTTCCTATTTTCTATATTATTAATTTTTCTATTTGATGAAATAAAAATATCAACTAATTCATCAAAAAACTTTTTAATTGTGGTTTATTTTCTTCAATTATATTTTGAAATTTTTTAGGTTCTAATTCAATTTCTAAATATAATAGTCTTTGTCTTTTATATAACGATAAGCATTTTAATAATAATTTGATTTTTTCTTTTAATTGATTTAAATTATTTTTTTATATTCATTTATATCTTTTTGCATCTTTTTATTTTATTTATTAAAAGATCAAAATTATTTTATTATCATTATATTTAATATTCATATCAGATCAATTATTAAAATTTAATTTAATATTATTATCTAAATTTAAAAATTGAGATAATTCACATTCTGTAAAATTATCATCATTTTTAATATATATATGGGAGGCAGTCAGTAGAAAAGGAGGAAATCCAAATTTTGATCAAAATTTATATTATTAGACTATTTGGCTGATCTTGGTCATGTGCACAAAATTAGCTTAATAGCTTAATAATTAAAATTAACAAAAATTTTGGATTTCTCCCTTTTCTACTGACCACCTTCCATATCATTAAATTCTTCTAATTTTCTTTTTTTATTTTTATATTTGAATCATTTTTATCACAATTCTTAACTTTACATAGTTTTAGATATATTTAATAAATTTTATAAAAATATTACAACCAAAAAATTAGTCTACCTTTTTTTGGTAAAAAATGATTATCACAAATTTCAACCAACAATATCGCTAGAAAATCGAAATGTTTCTCTGTAAAATGTAATAGTTGTAAAAACACAAGAATGCAAGAATATAATAGTTAAGAGTGTAATAGTTAAGAGTGTAATATTTAAGAGTGTAGTAATTAATAGTGTAGTAATTAATAGTGTAGTAGAGTAGTTGTAAGCAAAAGCTTGAAATGACCTCAAATGACCTCATGACCTTATTGTTATTATAAATTTCAAGTCAAATGACCTTATAATTTGCCATGGTTGTAAGAACTGTAAAATGTAATGTAAGGGTGTAAAAGTTGTGAAAATGGTTCTTTCTTTGTACTGTGGTAATCGGAAGAGACCGTTCTCATCATTATGGTTTCTTAGAGAAGGTCTACTGATTTTAGAGGAGGAATCGACATTTCAATAATCAATTGGATGACAAAAGATTTCATGACAAAATGAAAGATCGAGGCTTTGAAGGTCCAAATAACACAAATACAAGATGGTGTCGAAAACAATGATAATCACCAACTAGTTCTGTATAAAAAAAGTGGGTACTTCAAGAGTTCAAGTTACTTAAGGGGAGATTCAATAACAAATTACTATTTATTTTCCTGAAGAGAAAAATTATCCAAGAACTTATTCCGACTAACCTGGGGTTTGTAAACAAATATTGTGCTTTCTCGTCAGTGGAATATTAATTAGCCTCACTGGTTTTTGCCTATACGTTATTTTTCAAATGCCTTTTCCGCTATTGTTCATTTACGAATAATTCTTAAATTATACATATTTTTTTGTGACCAATTTTTTATTTTTTACTTAGTAACACATTCGAGATATTCAAAGAATAACGTAATTTCAAGATTCGGGGGAATGATAGACAAATTATAATTGAATTTTTGCGGTATTTTGGATCTTTTTCCTGCGGGAAAATTTAAACTTAATATCAAATTCCATCCTGGTATGATAGAGTGTAATTCAAATAGATTATTATCTAAACTTATTTTACAATTTGTTGGAAAAAAAATAATTCATATATCTTTTATCAATTATTAAAATATTACATTAACTCTTTTTCCACAGTCATTATTGACTGAAGTTGATAAGAAATTCCAACCGAATTATTCACAGAATAGGAAAGAGTTTCATCAGCCATTTAAAAATATTACAATTAAGTTTAGGAATTAAATAAAGTTGGAAACAATGTATTTGCGTGAGAAGTTTGCAGTCATGTTTAAATTTTGAAAAAAGATCTTTTTATTTATATTACTTTTACTGTTGATCTGTTACTGTATCGGGAAATATTTATGCACTGAAGATTGGTATTCTCCGCAAATTCACCATGTCATTTTTTATATATGACATAAAAATTAGGTACCATTCCAAAAATACGGAGTTTAAAATTATTAAAAACAGGAATAAAGTTGCAGGGTCATTCCTAAAAATAATAAATAAAAAAAAATAGAATCCACCCCTACAGTACTTGGGGTTACACAATTAAGGAGCAATTTTCTATTCTTTTTTATATATAATTGGATAAATTATACATTTTTGAATTTATTTTACTATTTTTTTTTGTTAATTTCTTATAACGAATACTTTACTCTTCCTTGTTTCTTTGTATTTTCCAGTAATTCTAATACGCGTTTTATTTTTGATTTTGACAGGTAGGTTTATATTTATAATCAATTTTTTTCATAATATGGTAGAAGAAGAAATTAATTTTTGCATTGCGTTAATGTTAGAATTATACTCGTGATCAGGAAGAGTTTAAGGAGTTTCCCTCGTTTCCACCCGAAAGTGATTTATTGCTCAAACCTTTGTTGTAAGGAAAGGTTTTTTTATCCATGATGTCTGTTATAAGTGGAGGCTCCGATGATCGAAATCCATTCGGTACTAGTCCATTATCGGTTTCATCGTTTCCGATGAATCAAGATTATGTACCATCCGCAATTAACGGGGGGCCTCAATCGACTATTTGTTCTTCAGCCATAGCCGCAAATACTATACTCCCACCCGAACAAGCAAACATTAATTTTAAACCCACCACCACAGCCATCACAAAAATATCAAAATTAAAATTACACGTTTTATTAGATTCTACAATATATACGGCAGGTGGTTTATTAACTGGAAGAATAGTATTAACAAGTTCTTCTGCACGCTCATTAAAACTTGGAGAAATCTCTGTAGAACTAACAGCTTATGAAGAATTATCTGTAAAAGAGTATACTGCTTCACAATCTTTTTTATCTTCAAGATTAGTTTTTCAAAATGAAAATTTACCACCTTCTAATGCTGTACATGGTCCAAAAGAAAATGGTTATTGGACAGCGAGAAAAGGAAAGACCACTTTTCCGTTTGCTTTTAAAATTCCTGTTGATGCGCCAACTTCTGTTGAATATGGAAACCTGGCATGTCTAAAATATATTGTAACTGGGTAAGTAATTCTTGTCATTTAGAGGATTTTTAAAAAATTGTGATCATCTTAATAAATTTTATTTTAATTTTGTTATCAAGAGTTGTTCAATTTAAGAATAATAATAAAGAAGATACACTATTAAAATCAAAAGAAGCCCTTGTTGTTGAGGCTTGGGATGGACAAAATCCAATCTACAAACAACCTGTAGATGGTGTTAATATGAAACAATTATGGATGGGTGGATCGGGTGCTATTACGTTGGAAGGGACATTGGCAGAGACGTTATTTCAAAGTGGTGGAAATGTTAGTGTACAAGTTAGGGTGAAAAATGAAACCAAAAGAAGGGTAAATAAAATCCATATAGATATTTTTATTCATAAATTTTTTTTTTTTTTAGTTAACCTATGAATTCAATTTATTTTTTAGGTTCAAGGGTTAAAGATTGCTATCACGCACAAACTTTTAATTCTTGCTAATAAAAATAAAAAAGAAATTGATGAGGTTAAAATTGTTGGAGATACGATAGCTGAAGCATGGTTTAAAAATAAGGATTACTTATTTGATTGTGGAGAGGATCGTTCGACAACCATTCATATTAATGTTCCTGTAAGTGTGATTTTTGTTTTAATTTATTTTTATTATTTTTTTTTTCGAAAATTAATTTTAAAAAGATATTTATTTAGAAAAATGCAAAGACCATAAGAAATACGGCGTTATTCGAAGTTGTGTGTTATATTGTAATATCTTTATACTTGGGACCTTTTACGTATGTAATGATCAAATATGAAAATTTGAAAACAATCACAAGATTATATTATTTATTTTATTTATTTGTATTTATAGAAAGGATCTTACAGTTCAACTTCCTGTTTACATTGCACATTCCGCATCTTTACAACCGGCTCCTATAGCCGATGCAGATTTGAATGTATTTCCAAATCATTATAATATGATGGACGAAAATGTAGATTTTTTTGTTGAAGATATCAGAAAAGATGATGGTGAAGTTTTAGGTTTTGTGTCAACACCGGTAAATATTCCATCAAATAATGGCGATAGAGTACTTCCTTGGTCAAATGCGGAGGATGATGGTCGTGGACGTTATTCACCTACGAAAAGTTCAGCTGGGTCATATATGTTTGGTTCGGCAAGCCCAAAGAAAATTGGATCTTTTGCATCATCTTTGCTTGGAAGACCAAAACAAACGGCAACACCAAATCCATTAAAACTGATTGCAAAATCTCCACCATTAGCTCCTGCATCACCTTACGCGTATATTCCAGCCATTGAACGTGTAAGATATCTTACTTTTACAACACAAGAACAAGGAGCCATACAAAAACGCCCTTTTGGTGCAGCTTCGGGATTTGGAGGTTATGGAAAACACAATGAAATACAGGAATTGTCACCACCTACCTCAGAATATGAATTTATTAATACACCACCCGAACCAGAACACGATGTTAAAAAGTGGCTTGAGAAACAACATAATAATCAATCTGAAGGATCAAGCCCAGTTTTGTCGGATGGAGAACCTGTTGCCACACCTGGTGGAAAATCCCCTTGGGCGCATATTATTCGAAGCCAAGAAATTGCAAGTACTTCACCTCGTTCACATTCTCCATTGTTTAAGCAAAATATTCCTTTTGATTCGAATGGTCAAGGAACCACTCCAATTGATATTCCAATACATGATTCAGATTTTTCATCAGATTCATTTAAACGAAATGAGAGTTTAGTATCTTCACCTTCAGGTCCATCAGGATTAACTCTATTGATGAGAAAAAAGGCCTCAATACCTACAATTCATGATAATACGTTTGAAGTATCATCATCCACAACAAACGAAACATATGATCATGTTCCTAAAGGTCGTCCTCTACCAATACCAAAACCTAAAGCAATTGAGATTATTGATGATAAAAGTTCAGAGTTTTTTCAAGTTCCCATACTTGAACAAGAAAAACCTAAAACACCGCCTGTGAATAATCTTAATACAAGTGCCGCAAATACTGGAGGAGGAAATTTGTCATCATTATTTAAATGGGGATCTTCTTGGATTGGATATGAAGCATCGAATGATCAAAGTCAATTACAAAGCATAGAAGAGAATGCATCTAACGAAATTCCAAAGAATAAACCTCGTAGACAGCTTCCACCTCCTCCGACAACACCAATGCCAGAAATGAACAATAACATGACGGACCATTCATCAATTAATCCTATCCCCGATGAAAATCCAGTTCTTAAAACGAAAATGCGTCGCAGACTACCTGCCGTTCCAACTTCTCCCCAGAATCCAATAACATCTAATAACCCAATTATAGAGGAAAAGGAAAACCCTTCTAATAATATTTCACATTCACCTCCTCAAAATATTTTTACCAGCCAAATAAATAACGATCCACCCTCACCATCCAAGCCTATATTGATTGACAAATCGGATAAACCTTCATTTATTCCACAGAAACCTTCATACTTTCCTGCAATACCAATAACTAAAGCGTCAATTTTTGCTGCTTTAGGACAAAAACCTTTCGGAATGTCTTCACCGCCTTCTTCAGTTCCAGTTTTAATTCCAGTTCCAGCTCCAGTTCCAGCTCCAGCTCCAATTCCAGTTCCAGTATCTCCTAAGAAATCTTTACCTATTTCTCCAAGTACTAGCCCACCAAAGCAAAAAGGATTTAATGTTAAACGTAAACCATTGGAACTTAATACTCTTGCGAAAGACGATCCTAAAATTGCTGAAATGATTAAAAACGAGTTAAAAGCATCGGAGAATCAAAGTGATAATCAAAATGTTTCCTCTAAACAAGCGAATTACAAACTTGCTATTCCACCAGCTGTGCCACCGAAAAATTCTGCTCCAACATCAGCTCAAGTTACAACATCTGTTCCTATTTCCACCAAATCTATTGAAAACAAAAGTACAAACATGTCGTCCGATCCCCCAATTGATCCCATAAAAGTACTAGCATCTCCGACAACTTATGTAAACAATACAATTGCTAAGCCAATTGTAGCAATAAGTGAAAAGGATAATTTTGAAGAAATACTTTATATTAATCAAAGGAAAAAGAGAGGAAACAAAAATAATGATGAAAATAAGGAAGAAAATGAGGAAGAAGGTAGACTAACAGCAAAGATAACAGAACCACCAAAACCTGTTCTTTCGCCTAGATTACAAGAATATATTAAGAAATATAATAATGCCACGGGTTCATGAAAATTGTTGGGAATATTTGTATACGAACATTGTTGTATTATGTTTGGGAATATTTATAAATATAATTCGAATCTCTCCATATTTGTAAAAATTATGATTGTATTAATGTATTAATAAGTAAATAATAATCGATCATATCGATATTATTTAAAACGAAGATTTTTTACGTATATAAATTATTTAAAATAAACATTCCATTGTACAATTATATAAATTATATCAAATTCAAAATAATAATAATAATAATAATAATTTAATTTTAATAAACTATGAAAACGATTGTACAAATTATTGCTTTTTTTTTTTTTTTTGTTATTAAAACCAATTAATTTGGGTTTTGGGTTTGGCAACAGCTCTTGGAATTCATTCGAATGGAAGACCATCGAAAAAATGGAGAGATTATCTTACGGCTTGGTCAGAATATACTCTTGGAATTGCAAAGAATCCGAAAGATACAGTTTTATGGTGTAATCGAGCCCTTTCTTGTCTCAAAGCTGGTCACCCAGAATTGGCAATCATTGATGCACAACGAGCACAAACCTTTTAAAGAACTGTCAAGAAGCGTCAAAACAAATACTCCTTTGCAAATATCGTTATGCTGAAGGGTTGGTCGCGATAAAAGATTATGAAGAGGCAATTAATGTGTTTAATGACCTTATTACAAATCATGAGACTTTACTTTACTGACAAAACTGACAAACAACTATGTGTCCAACGTATCAAAGATTGTTTATCTGAAAAAAGAGCATCTTCGGACACTTTGAAAAAGCTTTAAGAACGTCTCGATTTTCTTACAACAGAAGGTCAACAACCTCTTGAAGAGCTTTCTAAAATAATGAAATTTCAATTTCGCAGTCAAAACAGATAATACTATTTTACGCCTAGTAGAAGTCACTTTTAATGATTCTTCGGTCAATTCTGTAAGACAGATGGGAATTATAGCAAAAGTTAAAGCTCATGATTAACAAAAGCAACGTTGTGATTATTGTCTTGTAGAACCTGAAGGCAAGGAACAACATATCCTCAATGTATTAATATTTGGTATCAAATAAAATGTCGTGATATGGCTATTATGTTGGAAAGGTAGATCTTACAACTAATTCGATATAAAGGACGCTAAATTTGAATTATTTGCTTTGATATAAATGCTTATATTCCAACCTTTTGCTATTGCAAAAGAACGAAACAAATGTATGACTTAAAAGAATTTCCTTGCACGGAAAAATATTTCATGGAATCATCAAAATTACAATGAAATCATTCAGATATTTTAATCGCAAAAAAATCATGTAGTTACATGTACATATACAGATCCGTTTCTTAATAAAGTTTTGAACAAGTTTTACTCAAAGTAATTTTATTCATCCATAACGTAAATATTTTTAATTTCCAAAAGCAAATATGAAGATTTATTTAGCGATATAAAAGAAATCACGGAATTATGACTTTGATTCATATTTTTGTCTAACTGCATATTTCGTTAGTGTCGGCTCGGAAATTTTCATATAGAAAGACACTAAAAGTTTTCCGAACGGTCTTTAAAAATCATATGTATTTTATTTATACTTTTACAAGGTTCAAAAACTGGTTTTGATTTTTATTATAATACAATAACCTTTTCAACTAATATAAATACATACACTATTTACATATATCAAAACAAAACACGAAAAAAAGTAATTTTATTTTCTTTGTTTACCTGAACTTCCTAAACAAATATATGTACATATACGCAAACTAAATAAAAGGGAAGACAGAAAGATCCTTACCGCATGTCCAGAAAATTAACGGAATCCAAAGCAAAACCTACACCTACAAAATGCAAAAAAAGCAAATCGAAGACCGGACGACCTGCCTAACCGACTTAATAAGGGAGGAGAGGTAAGAGTAAAGTAAAAAAATTTTTGATTAAAAAATTGTCATATAAGAATACTACTATCGAAAAACGACTTTGATATTTTTATTATTTTGCGTGTACATATATTTGTTGAAAAATTTGGGGTAAAGAAATTTGGGGGTGTGAATTGCATGAATGTCACGTGATAATTTTTTTTATATCGGGTAATATTAATTATAAGATAATTATAAGATATTAATATTGTTACTCTATCTATTTTTAGAAATACATTCCAAAACTACGCGTTGCGTCATCATCTCAATAATTTATTTTGAAAATCAGAGATAACGCGTTTTTCATAAAATAAACTTTTCCATATTACGCGTCATTAATTTTATTATAAATACTCGACAATTTCCATATTTTTGTTCCTTTACTCCTCTTTACCCCTCTCCCTCCCTTATAATTTATTTTTTCTTTTCCTTTCCTTACAATATAAATATTTTTTTTATAAAACGAAACTTAAGAAATATGTCATTTCCCCGGTGTGTATTTTTATTGAGTTTTTTAAATACATTACTTTTCATGTCTTTTCAGAGGTTTCTTTTTGTAGCTTTTTTTTGCGACCATACTCATGTGAAAAACTTCTCCATTACGAAACTCCCGATCGGTCTGAGTCGTGAGGTCTACTGATTCCGAAACAGGTTTGGTTACGATCCTTCCTCACGACTATTCCGGCATTTAGGTACAACGCGAACCGAACGAATAACGAAGAAGAAATATATACTCGGTATCCCAGTGTGTATTTTATTTATTTTTTATCGAGTTTTTTAATGCATAACTTTGTCTTTGCTTTGTCTTTTTTGAGGTTCTTTTGTAGAGTTTTTAGACCTTCACGACTAGTCCGACTTTTGGAAAAAAATGAATCCCGAATATTATTGGGATACACTCGGTATCCCGGTGTGTATTTTTATTGAGTTTTTTTAGGTTTCTCTTTTATTGTTATTTTTTTTTCTGACTATACTAATATGAAAAACATCTCTATTACGAAACACTCGTTCGGACTGGATTGTGAGGTCTATTGATTCTGGAAGAGGTTTACCTTCCTCACGACTTAGTCCGAACAAATTTTTTAGGAAAAATGTGTCGGCAAATTTATAACTTTTGGTAAATATCTATATTTCTATTTATTTTCTTACCTTTATGACCTCTTTTGTGACATAAGTTCTCTTTAAACCAATTTCGTAATCCCAAAAATTATCAGAAGGTAACAATTTTGCAGAACTGCTAATTACTGGATACAATACCGCAGTATAAGTACCGCAAAATTTATTAGAAAAAAAATTGATTTTATACCGCATAAGTTCTTCTCTCAGTTTATGTAAGATACAAATACGCAATTAAAAAGAGGAATCACAGATTATTTTATTCCAATGAGAGAGATCACCATTTCTTTTGAACCCGCATTTTTCCAATTTTTTCATTTTCGACAAATAATTCAGCATCCTTTTTACCTTTATCAACGTTTACAGTTAATATAATAAGGATAGGAAATGCCATGGAAAACAATATATACCAATAAGCATTTCTTAAATTATGGGTCACATCCCCAATAATTCCCACAACCAAGGGACCTAACCAACTTGAACCCTAAATAAAGCAAAATAGGACAGAGTTAAGTCAAATTCGTCAATCCTTGAAATTAAAAAAATTTCTAAATACCTTATCCGTAATTTCAAATAAACTAAAAAATTCATTTTCATGACCTTTAGGTATCATACTACCAAACAAAACTCTACAATAACTTTGTACCGCGCCAATCAAACTACCGAAATAAATGGCAAATAACCAAATCTCCCACGAATATTTGAAACCGAATGGTGCGATAAATCCCAATAATGCATACAATGGTACCAAAGAGTGTAATGATGTGGTTATTATAATCATGGTTTTTGTACTCAAATTAAAGTACAATTGTATCTTCAGGAAAACATAAGCTCCGATCATTGCACAAATAGGAATTATCATTGCTGCTATTAATAATTGCACTTGAGATAATCCAAGTTCCTTCTTTCCGAATAAAGTTGCAACTGTTGTGATGGTACCATATCCATCTGATAATATAAACCATGCCACTAAAAATTTAACCGTTTCCACAAGATGTTTTGCTGACCTTATAGTGGTTCCTACTCTATTAAATGAATATGTAAAGTAACTTTGATTCCTTTACATCAATAAAAGATTTTTTGAAATTATAAATAAAAATTAATAAATAAATACGACGATTTTTTTACTTTGATTTATAACTTACTTTGGTAAAGGAGGACCAACCCGATTTTTCATCCACAATACGGGAAAAGTTAAAAACGATACCCACCAAATACCAACGATAACACAACCAATTCTTAAACTTAATATTTTGTCTTTCATGATTAAAGCAAATATGGAACCAATCGCTAATACAAGTACACCCGCGGGTATACACCATATCAAGGACATAACTGATAATCGGTTGGAAATCCTTTCTTCAATTTCACAAATTTCTTCCTTGGTGACATCACCATTTTCATCATTATTTCGTTTAACTTGTATTACTTCTGGATGAATATGTGTATACACTGGTATATATGCTAACCAAAATACCGTTGCCGCTCCAAAACAAACATTTCTTCGCAATGAATTAATGAGGAAGGAAGTAAAGCATGAATGTGTGTGATTGAGTTAACCTTGCAAAAAATTAAAGCGAGATCTACCACTTACGATAAGATGGTCAATAGTCCAGCTAACCAATACATATTAGGTTCAAGGACCAATATGTAAGCAATTGTAAATAGTGCTCCTGCATAAGAGAATCCTATAAGCATTTTTTTTCTGTTGTTTCCATAATCCGCTAATGATCCAATTCCAATGTATACAATACACTGTGTTAATACCGATATTGCGATTATATAAAACGAATAACTTGTTGAATCAACTATCCAAAATCCAAATTTTGTTACACATTTGTAATCTTCTATTTCCTAATATAATATATTAAAAGGGAATCTTTCAAGTGAACAAAAAAAAATGTGAGAAATCGGTCGCTTACGATATCACATGGAACATTTCTATCATCCAATTTGAACCCTGCTTGACTTGAATAAGTCTCCAATATAATAGGAATGAACACTAAATCAAATAAAAATTAGGTTATTCAATTAAAAAAAATTTACTCTCAAAGAAATAAACTTACCTGACATGGCAGCAATAACATATGGTTCATTCTATTATTAAAACAATTCATAATTAGAAATAAAGTTATTTATCCGTTTCATTAAATGGTTTACTTACCGCTGTATTTGCCAAGTACCATCCTTTTAATTCTCTTGTAGAAACAACTTCTAAATCTCGCTGATTATCATCAATTCCCATCTTTTCATTTAACATCGCTGAGTTATATGCTTTAATGTATGAGTATCTATATATTAACACTTATAATTAATAACGAATTAGTTTTTTATTTTAAAAAAAAAGAAAAAAAATTATATTTAAAATATTTTATTAAAACGGGAGATGCGCTTGTTTCAAATCATGTTGTGTATTCTTTTTCTTTTCCAAATAAAGCGAAACAAGGGAGTGTTTTATTAAATGAATTATTTTTATTATGCAATGTCTTAATAGTACATTTATGTTGTATTCTCTAGAAAATTGATTCTTTATATAATTTTTTTTCACGCAAAAATTCAAACAGATAGATATATTTCAAAATATTCTTTAGGGGAATCCAATCCATTTTACTATCGAATCGAATTTTTGCCGTTATTAATCAATACTTTTTTTCTCCATACATGCTGGGCGCAATAATTTCGGTCTATTTCGCTAAAATATAAAAACCCGAAATGATAATATTTTTATAATTTAACCGAACTAATAAAAATAATTCTATCGGGTATTTTGAGTTCATATATTATATCATTCACATATTATTTTGGCACAAAATATAAATAAATGGTGAACAAATTTATCCTCCCGAATAAATCTAGAAATCTTTGTAAACTTCATTTTCCAGGCAAACGACTATTTTATCCAATAAAAATATTTTATCGAAAACGAATTCCAAACTTTAAACATGTTAGTCTAACTAAGGCTTCATTTCTGACTTTCTTTTTTTTAATACAATAAAGTAATCTACAATTAAGTAATCTTCTATAAAGTAAAAATAAAAATAAAAATCTCAAAGTAATTTTTTACTAGAATTTTTTAAAAATAATCGTTACCAGCAAGCAAAACTTCAGAATTTTAAATCAAACAAAAAAATATTCGGTAAACTATTATGAATATTGAATATTGAATAATAATAATAATAATAATAATATATATATATCTCCTCTCTGCTCTTAGTCTCGTAACTTTGTTTCTAATTCATTGACATGTCGTTCTAGCTGATTGTCCAAGCACAAAATCTTGTCTTTGATCGAGACAATTTATTTACAAGCAGATGATTTATAAAGAAAATTATGAAGTTACAATTGTAGTCAAGATCAAGTTGTAATAGAAATTGATTGAAGAACTTTTTTTAAAAAAAAAATTTTTTCTTCGATTTTTATAAATATAACGTGAGAAAATGATTTAATGAGGATTAAGTTATATTATGTTATGTATACATCTTTTTACTTTTTGCTTCATTTTGACTCGTGAAATATGATATCATAATTGTAGGAAAATCTAAAAAAATTTTTACATCGACATTTTTCATTTACGATATTCACATTCAATATTTCGGAAGTAACCAATTATATTTACGTAACCATACTTTTCAAATCTCTGAGGGTGAAATGATTAATTAAAAAAATTTTTTTTTTTTTGAATTATGGTCATAAATATCAAATAGGGTGTAAAAGAATATTACGATCAAGGTAAACATTGATTCTTTCCTTTCGTTTACCATGTGTAAAAAATTATAATTTATGATTATTTAATAAATGTTCAATAACTTGAGTTCCAGCAGCGTTCAACCATTTCCTTCTCACAACCACATCCATGTGAGCCGTACCCTCCATTCGTACCAATATTTTCCTCCAATTCATATCTTTATGCCAATTTCTTGCCATCTTTTCTTCGATCAATAAATGATTTTGTGACGGAGGAGGAATATCCTTGGGTGCGTAAACCTTATCATGAATTATAGGGGATATACCAGAGAATGACCTATCAAGGTAATCTTTTGTGAATTTTGGAGGATGAAAAGTTGCTAAAAGGTGTTTCAAATTCTCCATTAAACTCATATTATGTACACCATTAGTTACATCATCATCGAGAAAATAAAGTGAGGAAGTTTTTATTGCGACTAAAAAATCATTGGTGATATTCGCGTATATTGAACGTTTATGAAATTTCTTGATAGCGATATGAGATGATGATGATGGATGTGACAATGATAAGACCAAAGGTTCTACTTCCATCGCACGTTTTTTCAAGGCCAACTCTTTACCGGTTTTACCAAATGAACCCAATTTCATTGGAAATTTGATGTACCAGGCCAATTCGGTCGAACCGAGTAAAGGACTTGCGATCGTAATAAAATGAATCGGTTTGACCTTCTCGAAGAAAGTTCCATTAGTAACATTATGCAAGTAACCTGCCACAAATACGTTAAACAACCCTCCCAAAGAATGACCAATCATTGAAATTTTCGAAATTATGGGTTTGTCAAATCGTTCCCATCCAATGTATCTTAATACATGTTCAGCTAACCTTTTACTACATTTCTCTATACCTTCTTCAGTGAGTGTGTGATTCACATCCGAAACATAAACGATTACATTATTATCTGAATACTTCTCTTGGATGGCTTCTCGTAAATATAATCCATCTAAAATTGTCCCATGTAATCCATGTGTTAACATAACGAGATGAAGATTGTCATTAGCATTTGAGGTAGAAAGTTCACGTAACCCAAGAATATCAACTGATTTATAGGTTTCATATGTAATCAAAGAAGAGTACATCTCTTTGTGGATATCTTTTGAGATGAAAGCATATAAACCAACTTCATAATTAACTTTAATGTTGGAAAAAAATGCTTCGCTTACGATTTCTACGGTCCATTCCTCAATATTATTTGAAGGAATTGTTAAAGTTGATTTCCATGATTTACCACAACTAATCATTGGTTTGCATTGAGGGATGAAGCAAAGGAATTGTGGTTGTTTTATCCGATTTGTCGAGACAACAGATGCTGAAATGTTATAAGGTCCCGATAATACTGCTACACGATAAATTGACGGGGTCTTATTAGTAATTTTTATAACAAGGTTCCGGATGAGAGGAGGAAACGAATTCTCATTTTGTGATTGATCAAATTTTATTCGATATCTTGATATCTCTCCAATTGAAAGTTCCGAGGAAGAGCGCCAGATACGAGTGAGTTTTTGAGACATTTATTAGAATGGTTATTTATTATGTAGTAAGAAGGAAAAAAAAAAACAAAAAAAAAGGTAAAAACAATTTTTCGAAAAAATGCAGTCATATTTAAAATCCTAACGCTAACATATGAACGATAGTGATGATCAATTTAGAATGACATTTAGAATGACGATTAAATTGTTCAAATAATTTTAAGCTTTAACCAAAAAGGCAATGAATTACAGTTTTTTTTTGAGAAAAAAATATATTTTTTTAGTTGATACAAAATTTTTTTTTTTACAAAAATATTTAATTATAATTAACGTTAAGTTTGAAAAGGAGTGTTTTATGAAAATAATTTTTTTTTTCTATGAAATTATTTTAAGAATGTTATTTTAAAGTTGTATGAATGATTTTTAAATAATGTTTTGAATGAATGAATGAGTTAATGTATGAATGATAATAAATAGAATAAGTTAAAAATGAATATTTTTCTATCATTTTTGGAGGGGGTTATAAAATTGGCGGAGTAGGTGGTGGTGTTAAATTCAATTGACCTCTAATTTGATCAACTATTCGCGTTGGGCTTTTTTTCGAGTTATCAAAATTTCTTGATGCATCATTCAAATTCCTATTATAATTATTATCGTCATTATTGAAAAAATTTCCTGTCATATTATAGGAACCGTAATCATTAGAACCCATGTTACCTAATTTTCTTTGTGCCGCAGTTTTCTGAACTTCATCTAATTGGTTACGTATAATGAATTAGAATTTTAATAAATCTTTGGATGACTTAATACTATAAAAAGAAAACTAACCTAAAGCGGCCATCATTGCATCATATTCATCAATTCTCGATGGTATTCTACTCTCATCATTTTCATCATTTTCATCATTTGGTAATCGACTCCATCTTGCATTTATAAATTCATCGTCACTTAAATCAATATCTTGATTCGACACGTCCAATTGAGATTTTAACATTTCTAATTCATTGGTTAGAGAAGTAATCACATTGGAATTTCTCGGACTTGAATCTCTTATATCATCTTCAATTTCACGATAACTATCAACAGCATGTTCCATTTGATCTAACAAAATTGTAATTTTATTTTCAGATTCTCTCCACTTTTGTTCTAAATCTGAGTTTTCCTTTTCAAGCCTTTCATTCATTGCACGATAGTCGGTAATTTGCCGCTCTAATATGACACGTTGTTCCTCCCAATTCATATCGCTATGTACTTTTTGTCCTGATTTCATTGAATATTCAAGTTCTTTATTAACTTTAGTATATAACGCAAGTGTCTCATCCAACTCGCTTTGAGTATTCCGTAAAGCTTCTTGAGAATCTTTTAATAAGTCTCGAAGTTCCTGATCGATCAAACGCAAAGACTCGTTTTCTTTACGTAATGTTTCGTATTCTTTACGTAAAACATCATATTCCGCTTCCACCATATTTTTTCCATCAAAAGCACGGTCAAGCTGTGATCGTAAATCATCAACTTTTCCTTGTAATAGTACCTTTTCTTTGTCAAATTCTAATCTCTGTTCTTCAAGTTTTTGATTGGTCAATTCTTGTAATTTAGAATCGGACAATCCTTTACTTACTGAAAAATTATTTTCGGCTTCAGATAATTTTTCTTCTAATGTTTCATTACGTGCTTGAGCTAATGATAATTTTTCATTCAAGATTTCGGAATCTTTTTTATTTTTTGTTAATTCTTCTTTCATCCTTCTCAACATTTTTTCTGTACCTTTAACATAATGTACGGCAGTTTGATAATCATTTTCAACTTCTTGTAATCTTTTTTTCGTTTCAATGAGCTCCCTTTGATTTGCAATAGGTTTTGTCTCTAATTTAACATTATCTTCATTATCAGATGTTAAGCTTTTTGATCCGATACTGGCACGTTCCAACTCTCCTTCAAGAATTTTGGCTTTCTCTTCAGATTCTTTGACTTTTCGTGCAGCTTGATTATGCTTGCTTTCAAGTTCTTCACATTTTGATTCCAATTCTTTAAATCGACTTGATGAAAATAATCCTTTATTAACGTTACTACCATCGTCTAAAATTCCTTTCTCTGTAAGTACATCCCTCATCATGCCTACTTTTACTTCAGCGTCTTCAAGAGCTCTTGTTCTTTCTACCAATGTTTGTTCCTTTTCACGTAATTTATCTTTTGTTTTCGCGTTTTCATCTGAAGCTTCAATTAATCTACGTTGTAAACTAGCAGAATCTGATCTTGCCTTTATGGCAGCACTTTCCATTTGTGAGATTTTTATCATAGCATCCGCGAGTGAACTGGAAGTTTCTTGAGTTGCTTTCTGTGAATTCATATGAGCAGATTTTAAGCTTGATATCTCCTGTTCGAGCATGATTATTTTCTTTGCAGCTTCAGAAGAATTATTTCCTTCATTATTTGAGCGTGAAGTGTTTAATAATTCCGTCATTCCTTCTTGCATCATAGCACGTACTGCATCAACTTCTTTTTGAGATTTCCCCAACAACCTTTCCATTTCATTGGCTCTCGCGTGGGCACGATCTAAATCTGTCATTCTGATATCTAAATCAGCCCTTAGCCTTGCTGCTTCTTTCTCTAAACCAACAAAATCTTGGCGGGATTGTCTCCATAATGATTCCACTTCACCCGCTCGTTCATTCGCGGCCAAAAGGGCATTATTGGCCTTTTCCAAAGCTCTTTGATGTTGCTCAAGTGACTGTTGTAGCTGATCAATTTTATTGCGTGAATTGTTAGAAGTTGAATGGTACTGTGAAAGTTCTGATGTAGCTTCAGCTAAACGTGTGCTATTTTCTCTTAATTGAGCTTCGGCCATCGTGGCACGAGAATGCAATGTGGCCAATTCCGCCAATGCTCGTGCGTGAGCCTCTTCCGCTTCTTCGGCCCTCGAAGTAGCTGATTTTGAACGTTCTTCAGCCGCTTCTCGAGATATTTTATCATAACCTGAAACTTGCTGCAATTGAAATAACTTATTTTGTAACGACTCTTTTTCCGAAAGAGCTTGTGTCAACCGTTTCTCTAAATCTTTTGCACGCTTAACTTCAATGCTAGCGAGATCTGATTCTGAAGCATTTACCAAAGCTGTTAGTTTTGCTTTAAAATAAGCAGCCTCTTGAAGAGCTGCGGTTCTCGCACGTTCTGCATCCGTTATTTTGTGTGAAGCAGCTTGAGCTTGATTCGCAATCGTTGCCTTTTCTCTTCTTAACTCTTGTCTTATTTTGAAAACCGCCGACATAATCTTAAAACGATCAGAACCGTTTTCACCAATGTCCATGATTTTTTCAGAGTCAATTCCTTCGGGTACACCACTATTACGATTATCGGGAGTGTAACCAGATTTTTTAGCAAGAGCGAGTTCAAGTTTCAACCAATTTTCCCGCTTTTTAATTTGAGATATTTGCACGTCTCTTTGTTGTAATTCACGCAAGAAATTATCTCTCTCCGTGTTTGACACAGGGGCCGGGAAATGTTCAAGGGCATCAAATGTAGGAGATTTCAAACTATTCTGACTAATTGTGGATGATGAACTCGGTGATATTGTACTTCCGCCACCATACAAAATTGAATTATCTGGTAATTGTTTTGTGTTTATCGCTAACGGCGATGGTGACGAATTATTGCTCCGAGGAATTTTCTTGCTGGATGAATTAGAATTTGGAGGACGTGGAGCCTGACGTGGATTTTGAAAATCTCCGGTTGCACCAGCCATATGCATTGCTAAGTTCGTCGCATTTTTATTTCCTTCACGGAATTGTTCTCTTCTTCCCTCCGTAGGTGAAGGGGTCTGTTTACGAAGACTTTCAAAGCTTTGTTTTTTTCCGAGTGGTGGCGATAACGAACGATTATCACCACCTTCCATAACATTATTATAATTATTATACCTTTGTTCTGAGGAATTCGATCTACCTCTTGACGATAAATTATTTCCCGCTTGTGCATTATTATTTGGATCCACCATATCTGGTGGTAACCTTGGAGAGCCATTTTGTGTTTTTTTTGGAAATTTTGGACTACCACCTCCCACCTGAGGGCCCATACGTGGGGATGAATTACTCACATTCATATTATCAGGCATGGCCCTTGGTGAGGGCACTGGAGAATTTAAAGAACTTTGACTTCCTGATGGTGAAATATGCCTCAACCCAGGCGATGTTCCCCTTATTTTATTATTATTATTATTATTATTATTAGTATTAGTATTATTGTTATTAATATTATTAATATCAACGTTATTGGGAGTATTTTCTTCATTAGATGGAAATTGTCCATTTGGTTTCATTGAACTTTGCCTTATAGGTATTACATTACGATTATTATCATCTATTGTATTATTACGTTTATTGGGAGATTGACTTTGCGATGGTGGTGAATATCCTGTCTGAAGTTGTTGCGGTATTGACCTTATTTGTTGTGCTTGTTGTGATTTTTGTGTTGTTATTTGTGATGATTTTGTCGAATTTGACGGAGAAGTTGGATACTTTATTTTAGCTAATAACCAGTAATCGATAAGTTAATAATAATTTTCACTTTCATAACTTGCTTAATCATGAAAAAAAAAATCAAAAACGTACATGTATCTAATATATTAATAGTGCCATCTTCATCTGGTTTTGAAATTTGTAGACAATCCCCACCAAAAATTAAAACTTTTTCCCGGCTAGCCGTCATTGCGTGAAACCTCCTAGGACTTGGTGGTATTCCCATTTTAGAGAACATGTACCATCGTTGATCTATATAATAGATATAATAATTTTAAGTGTCCATTAACGAAAAAGAAAGAGGAAAAAAAAAAAAGTCGAAAAATATTATACGAATCGTAATAACGCATATTATAATACTAACTGGAAAGTTTGAGCGCTCCTAGATCGCTTAAATCTAAACCATCCTGTCCCTTCCCACCAAAAATATACATAACGTCTTCTATGATAGCAACTCCATGATTTTCTCTTGGAGCTGGAAGATAGCCAATACATGATAAATCATTCCACTTATTTGTTTGTGTGTCATAACACCATGTATCGCTATTATATCTCTCACCGTCCGTACCGCCAAAGCTATCGAAAAAAAAAATAGCTTATTAATGATTTTTCAAAATAAAATAAAAGATTTTAAATAAATAAATATTTGAACACATACACGAAAAGTTTGTTATTGTATGCGCACATGGTGTGACCTGTTCTGCCTACTGGTGAATCATTTAATGGGACAATAAATTCCCACCGGGCTACACCAGAACTAACTATATTGAAAAAATGTTCTCATTTAATTTTTGAATCCAATTATAAAATATATATTCTAACAACTTACGCGTTTGCAGGTCAAATACGACCAGATCGTTCAAGAGACGACCATCAGACTGTCCACCAAAGATGTACATTTTTGATCCGATCACGGTCGCCGAATGACCAAATCGGCCAATCACCTTTGGATCTTGCATAGGTGGTTTATACCATTGTTTCTTAACTAATGAATAAAAAAAAATTATTTAGATCATTTTACTTAAGATACGATTATTTTTGAAATAAATAAATAAATAAATGCTTGCCAATATTTAAAATGTATATATTGGTATCAGGTCGATCATCCGGATTTGATGGTACACCGCCGAAAACTGAATAAATTCGTTTGAAGAGTTATTATTATTGATAAATTTTTATTTTTTATTTCCTCCTCAATTCAAAATAATTGGACATTCATCTAAATAATAGTCACCGATCATGTTATTTCCAATATTAACTTGTGTATGTAAACTCCGAGGCGGTGGAATGTCTCCAGTTGTCGTTAATCCAGTAACATTGAATGTATCTGAGAATCGTCGTCAGCATTTGATGATACGTTAGTCAACCATAAGATAAATAAATTTATAGATCTTTACTGTTTGTTACTTACTAGTTTCTAATATAAATACATCATTAGTTGCGCCTCCTTTATAAATACCACCAAAGATACATAATTCGTCATTTACCCCACTCTGATTTGTAGAATGACCATGTCTTGGAAGAAGGTTCGATAGGGAAAGTTTTCTCTGAGACCAAGGAACTTGAGTATTTTGTTGTTTTAATTTTTTTGAAAATATTTGCATTTGTTGTTTTGATGAAATTAAACAAATAAATACTTAAAGGCGTGTATGAAAAAAAAAAATACGTGTTTTTTTTTGAGAAAAAGGATGGATAAAAAAAAAGAAAAAAGAAAGGAAGGAAAAGATTGTGGGGGGAATTAAAAAAAAAAATGAAGGTATTTATGTGTTTGGCAATGGTATTGATAGGTGGGATGACCTTAACTAGTTAGTTCCCGGTTTACCGTCTTCAATTTTTTTTTCTTGAGTTTGTTGGATAGGGATTTGGACTTTATTTGTTTTCTATTAAATCTGCGAAATTCTAACTAATGTTTCACGTTTTATACTTGCTTGCATTTTGCTTGTACCACAACGAAATCCGAAAACCAATGATTGAAAGAAATTTGAAAATCAATATAAGCAATAAAATCAATATGACAATTTTTTTTTTTTTTACGAATACTATCATCCGCGCCGCGATAAACTAGGCATAGCCTCATGTAGATATGTGATACCGCGAAGCCTTCCAAATTCTCCGTGTTTTTAATATACATTTTTTAATAATTTTCTTTTTTCAAACCGTCGACCGTGACCCTTCTTGTTCCACTATGCCTCGTCAACATCCTTTTTTTTTATCCTCTCATACGATATTTTATATGCTCCTTCTGAAGGTCGTAAGATTTTCATCGCATTCTTGTACCATAAACGTATGTCAGAATATCAAAGTTGCATCGTTGATCATTCAAATATGGAAGAAAAATAAATATTGTCGCTATGAAAAAAAGTGAATCATATGATTTTGTTCAGAAATTTTTATTTGGAATCTAAACAAATCAGAGATGACAAAACCAGCTGCCGATCCACCCTTTTTTTGTGATTCTTGACCGGGAAACTTACAATAAAGGTTAATGGTTTACAAAACATTTAGCAGTATATGGACATTTAATGTGATGATTACAACTTTTTAAAATATTTGTACTTTATTTGAAACATCATTTGTAAAACATATCAATATGTTTAATAGGGAAATTTGTGAAAATAAATTTCATCATCCGAAATTCCTTTTAGAATACACAAAACCAAAAACGTTTAAGAGATGCCTCCGTCTAATATTTATTGTTTGTAAACGGAGTCTAGTGATTTGCATGAAACCCCCCCTTCGATTTGTGCAAATGATGGAAATTCCATAAACAAACAAACAATTGAATGCTAAGTAAAGAAGAAAATAAACAAGGGTTTTATTCTGTGAATCCAGATCTTATATATAGAAATCTATGAATATTTATCAATCTCCATTGAAATACTTTTTTTACTTCAAATGTCTTTACATTTTGCTTTCATGCCATTTATTGTTTGGCAATGTCTGCCTTTTCCACATGGTTTGGGATTAGCAAAGTTAGATCCACATGATATTTCATATATGAAAATTCCATCGGAAGAACACGCCGTTCTACTATCGTATCCGCAGGAAACTTCCTCTTGTGAAGTTGCGTCATATCGGGGTATTACCACGGCATTTATTGTTATCAGCAAAATGAGAATTGCCGTTGTGAGTGTGTTCATTTTGTTATATGAGGTTATTTTTATTTTAAAAGAAAGAGAGCGAATAAATTTTATTTAAAAAAAAAAGAAAGTGGTTTGACCTTAAAAGAATTGTGAATCGAGTTGTATTTATAATAATCGATGTCTTATGTCGAGTAATTTTCTCTCTCGATTAGACTTTGGTTGATTTCTAAAAATAATATACACATCTTTTGAAATTGATGCATGTAATAAATGCATCTAATGATCCATAAATAGTAATTTAAGATTTCTGATTTGGAAAATTTCAAAATTCATTAGTTGATTCGACCGTAAAATGAGAAATCTTTTCACTACCTTTTGTTTTCTTTTATTAAATCATGTTTTGCATCTTTGAGATGTATCCTTTGAATCAGTTAATGGTTAGGTTTTGAAGGTATGAATTTTCGATTACAAATACATACGAATGTAGTTATTATTTCTTTCTCTCGGATTAAGGAATTCGGGCGATACATTTTTCCATTTCTCTCCACACTATCCGAAATCCTAATTTGTAAATATTTGTAGATCAAAGTTTTGGTCAACCACCTTCGTCCGAATATGATTCATTTAATTAATACCATAATGTTACACGCGTCACCAGATTGATAATCTTGTCGGTAAAGTGAGAAATTGAATTTTCCAATTGTAATAGAGATCATCAAATGTTTTAAATAACTGAGTATTATATAAATTTTTTGTTGCATAAATGATTGTGATTCATAAGGATCTTTACATACATCCTTCTCAAGTTTCTCCACATTTTAAACACTGTACCTGAAGTTCTTACCCTTTATTTAATTCCTATTGATCAACAATTTTGTTTAGATCAAACATTTCATGAATATTTTTGGTTCGGCAAGCTCATCGGATCCCAAGAGCTGTTGTTAAAACCCATTTTAATAACAAAAAAAAAAAAAAATAGCAATAATTTAATAATTTTTAATAATTTGATAGTTCTTTATGGTGAATTAGCCCGCATACGTTACTCCTTATTTTTTTTTTTTTTTTTTTTTGAATTTTATATGATTTATATAATTGTACAATGGAATGTTTATTTTAAATAATTTATATCCGTAAAAAATCTTCGTTTTAAATAATATCGACAATCATCATTTTTGACAGAAAATTTACACATATGGTATAAATTTAGTTAGAATATCGAGAGATTCGAATTATGTTTTTTGAAAACCTTAGATAAAACTCATCTATAATAGACAAAGATTATTTTGATAATAACTTAATTAATTACAATACTGTACATAAGTAATTTTAATTATATATATCTTTTTTCTAAATGAAATTAAAGAAATTAGAGAAACAATTTTTAGTCATTACTGTAAATGAATCCAAAGAACCTTTCCAATTTCGGGATTAAATTTTAACTCGGTTAAATAATTTGTTGTAAGAATAATTGGATATCAGAAGAATGAAAAAAAAAGGAATGAAGGAACGTTTAAACAAATTGAGCAATAAATTTACAATTTTCGGTTAAACTTTGGTTTAGACTCCAATCCTAAATTGGTCTTTAAAACAGTCCACAGTACGATTTAATCCTTAAAACACAACTGTTTGAACTTTTATCCACGACAAATTATGATAAGAATGTATAATGGCTTTCACAAAAACTAAATAATCACATGAATACTGAAAAATCAATACCAACTCCCCGTGATGACGTGATTCTCTGGAAACTTTATGATCAAGATATCAAATTGGATTTTAAAACTTGTATGGAATGCAATTGCGTACACTTTGCATTACTTTCTATTCTTTAACAATGAATCGAATGACCTATAAAAGGAAGAAATTTCGTTTCGGCGTTCTCGTGAATGAACATTTATCTTGTGACTTTCCAAACCTTGACTCAATGAATCTAAACACAAATTATTTTCCTTGAACCTTCTTATTAACGCATGAGGACACATGATAGGTTCGATCTAATCTCCTTTATTGTCTCTGAAAGGTCAATTACTTTTTCAAATTGTTATGATATAATAATCGAAAAATTACGCTCGATTGCTTATGGAAAGGCATGAAGTTATTGGTTGAAAAACATGCGGTGATCCAACTCGTTACTTGTGAATTAAAAGTCGATCATGTCAAATAATGAGTTATTTAATAGAGATTGAAGTAAAAAAAAGGTTCAATCGCAAGAAAAGTTTTAAATGAAAGATATTCAAAACTTTTATGAAATAACAATTGTAAAATCATCTCAATATCAGGTCAGGTTTTTCAAGGAGTGGGTGGCCCTTAATCAGGTGAAATTTTAAATAGCCATTGTTGTTCGTTTGCACCATCTTATATCAAATTAATTGTTGACCCATTATTGATTTTAATAAAAGTTCAAGTTAATTATTATTTTCAATAATGAAAAAAATTGTTATAAGTACGACTTATTTTTTTAATCCACCTGCAAAACCATCTTCTAAAAAATGTATCGATTAATTCACTCAATTTCACTTAAAAAACTTTATTTGCCCATCTCTCGCCAGCACATCCTAAATCATTCCTTATATTCTAAATCCTCCTCTTCCATCAAAGAAATCAAGCCTTTATACACTTTCATCAAAGAAACCAAATTCTTTTATAGTTCAAATTCAGAAATTAAAGTAACTGACCAAATCTTTAAAAAAATTCAGTCGTTTGTAGAATTTGTGCATGAAGACAAACGGTCAACTTTCATGACAATTCTTGAAAGTGAAAAACAAACGTTGAATCTCTTATCAACGCTCAATTGACATTAAAAAAATATAGAGTTAATTCAAAAAGATGAAGATTTGAATAAGATGCCAATTACGACAGTGAGTTATGCTTGAATTTTTTTTTTTGCCAACAATAAAGAGAGCTTACATTAGTAACACACATATTAATCTTTCTTAGAGGCGTATATATTTGGAACATTTAAAAATCAAAGGAATATTACACCTAAGAGGAGTCATCGGTCAGTAAAAATTTAACTTACTTGTTCATTTTTAATATTTATTGACTTTTGGGTTTGTAATTAATTTCTAGAACTTTGGGAGACAGAACACATGGATCATATTCATGGGAATAGAGGGAAAAAATGGACGAAATTTTTTGAAAATAAAGAAAATTTAAAAATATTTCAGAATTTTTGGTCAAAACCGGATGACATAGATATCGAACGAGCAGTAGATGAGATGCAAAGCTTTTACAAGTTTTTATCAGAAAAGATTCATATATCACCAAGGGATGAATTTGTGGAATGGAATCGTGACATGTTAACGCCAGTTCGAAATAAAATTGCCGAATACATGTGTAAATCATTGAATATTGATTACCGTGTAATTAAATCTGCCGACTTCGATCATAAAAACCGAAAATAAATCAAAGTCTTAATTCTGTGATTTCTTTTACTTCGTTAAATAATTGCATTTAATATAAGAACTTTTTATGATGTAGACAAATAACTACAAATTAAGCAAATAAGCTACTTATTAGTATTATTGAAAATATCTAAGTATAAATTTTCTTTAAAAGGTTGCCGAAATAAATTTTTATACTATAAAATTATATATTTAGGATTCCTTGCAATTCCAAGAATAAGCTATAAGATAATCTCCATTTTTATGACTTCGTTTGATGGTCTTCCATTCGAATGAATTGGGTAGATGGAAAGAATGTAGTGATGATTATTTTGTTTATCAACAATACTGTAACTTTAATTAGCCAGTCCTCTTAGTAAATGATCTCGAGAACATAATATCTAAATTAATGAATAAATTATATACTGTAAATTGGTAAATAATAATTATATAAATGACGTAATTAAAATTTATTATATTTAGTTTTAATATGTCCGATCGTCATTTTTACGTGTTTTCTTTTATAAAAAAGAAATTATATTAGTATGCTTGCAATGGAGAAATAAAAAAATAATTGGAAAGTCGTCGAAGACTTGTAAATGAGGAAAAAAAAATTTTACAAAAAGTCGTTGAAGACTTGATAAAAATTGTTGAGGACTTAGTTGTAATGGAAGATAAAGTCGATGAGGACTTATAGTTTAATTAAAAAATTGTTGAGGACTTGTAATGTGGAATCTGGTGAAGACCTAGAAAAATTATCACCCAGAAAAAAAAAATGATAAAAGACAATAAAGAATGAAGAAAAGAAAGAAAAAAAATAAACAATAAAGATAATAAAACGAAAAAAAAAATAAAAGGACGGCAATAAAGACGATAAAGACCACTCAAAAAATAATAATGGACATCAGCTTTTTTGTGGCCGGAAACCATTTGCTACCTAGAAGATACAGTTTCTCTCAACTTTCTTAAAAAAGTAAACACCTTAAAAAAAAGAAAGGAAAGTAGCGAGAGCATGTCATAGCTTCTGCCTCATTATGCGGATAAACGTCTAGACAGCAGAAACAAGACATACTAGCAAGTTTTAAATTTTACCATTTAACAACAAAGTTCGAGGAGGTATATATATATATTTACCTGACGTTGCTAATTTTGATGCTCATTGTGATTGATTAACGAATATATTATCCAAAACTTAAATTATTAGTTTTAATAATTTTAAATTTTTTTTTGGAATGTTTATTTTAAATAATTTATATTCGTTCTAATCTTCTATAATCTTCTATAATGTCTTAAGATAACACAAGGCACGTTTCTGAAATGTTATGATATAATTAATGCTGTTGAAGAAAAATAATCGAAAAATTACGCTCGAAGTTATTGGTTGAAAAACCTATTGATGATGTTAAATATTCGATCAATTAATCATTTTATTAAATTAAGAAAAAAACATTTTTTTTTATGTCCAGTAGAATGATTTTTGAATAACAAAATGATGAAGCCATCATATTACGAAACTCGCCATTGTCCAATATAACCTAAAAAGAACCCATTATCATCTTTTTGGAAAAAGGTCACAAACTAAGAGTATGACATTGAGGTAATTGTAGTGCTTTGACAATAATCTTCCTCATGGAATCCTTGTTTGTAATTATTTTTTGAGATTAGAGGCGTTTTTGAGATGAAAATTTGGTATTTTTATATATATATATATATGGATTCCATAAATAAACTGACTATTAAGAGGTTGAAGTAAAAAAGTTTTATAAAAAATATAACATTTGTGATTATACGAATCACGAGTTGACGAGTCCTAATGCACAAGATGGACTTATAGAGAAAGATATTCAAAATCAGTTGATATTTATTTGCCATCTTCCTAAATAAATATTTCTTTTATATCAAATTATTTGTTGACCCATTATTGATTTATTGATTTAATAAAAGTTCAAGTTAACAATTATCGCTATTATTTTATTTTTAATCCACTTGCATACCATATTCTAAAAAAATGTATCGCTCAATTTCACTTAAAAAACTTTATTTGCCTATCATTCGCCAGCACATCCTAAATCATTCCTTATATTTCATTAAAGAAACCAAACCCTCTTATAGTA